TGGCACCTTCTCTGGACTTTTCGCCATTATTCCACCCCCACTCCGGACACACACACTAGGGCTCTTTGGTGTCTTAGCACAGCTAACATTTATCATCTCCTAGTTTTGGTGGATCGAAGATTTAGGAGCAACTGACGTGGCTGACTCTGGCTCGGCATTTGTCATTAGGCTGCAGTCAAAATGCCAGCCCGGGCAGCAGTCCTCTGAAGGCTCAGCTAGGGCAGGAGTAAGGTAAAGGTAAAGGCCCTCCCGTTGATCGTCGATTTGCTCGAGCGGGCCCAGTAACGTCTCCATTGGAGACTTTGTTGTTACTGTGTCTGGCATATCGAATACTCTCGGTAGCTTGCCGGGCTCTCCGAGAGGGGCGGAGGAATCGAACTTGGGTTGGCCATGTTGGCCGCGTGTAAGGCGAACACCCTACCGCTGTGCTATCGCTCCAGCCCAAGGGCAGGAGTATTCGTTTTTATTGAGGCCCACCTGGCAGTGCTCAGGGCTTACTCCTGGCTCGGTGCTTGGGAACCGAACCCGGCTCACCTGCATATAAGGCAGAAGCCCTCCCTGAAGTATTATCTCTCTGGCCCTGAGGAGTCACTTCTCAGATGGTTCCCTCACACAGCAGTTGGCGTGAGGACTCCGTTGCTCTCCATGGGCCCCTTATCTGGACTTCTTGGATGTCCTCACAACACAACAGCTGTTTGCATACTGGAAGCTTCAGCACCCGTTTTGGGTGGAACACATTGCTTGAAATCACAGGTCTGGGGCTTTTCCAGAAGCAGGACCTGGTATGTGGGTTCTAGATACCGTTTAATTCTATCAATGAATGAGCCCTTCCTCTGGTGGAGAACCAGAACGCATAGCCTTCACAGTACTTGGCCCATTTCTTGACTCTGTATTGTTCCACCAACCAGGTGAGTGGGCAAAGGTCCAGAACCTTTCTCTGCATCCCGAGAAATACCTATCCAGTCTGCGTGGCCTATCCATGCTCTTCGAGGCAAATGAGAATGAAAAGGTATTTTTCATTTGTGGGCGGAGATGTGATTGACGCCTGCTGGTCTCGGTTAGACCAATGATGTCATACTTGATCTTTCGTGCTTGCACCATCAGGTCCTCAATGGAAGCGTCCAATGCCAGCGTATGTGCATTGAAAGTACAAACAGTCATTTTTGTCCTTCATTTTGGCAGCCTAGGTCGGTTCTGAGATTTTATGAGCCTCTCCTTCCTCATCCTTTATTTATTTATTTATTGCTTTTTGGGTCACACTCGGCATTGCACAGGGTTTACTCCTGGCTCATGCACTCAGGAATTAATCCTGGCGGTACTTGGGGGACCATATGGGATACTGGGAATCGAACCTGGGTTGGCTGCATGCAAGGCAAACACCCTACCCGCTGTGCTATTGCTCCAGCCCCCCTCATTTTTCTTAACGCTGCCATATTGGTGGCTCTTTCAGGGTCAGGAGAATGGGACCCATTATATCTACTGGTTTTGGCATATCGAATACACCATGGGTAGCTTGCCAGGCTCTGCCATGCGGGTGGAACACTCTTAGTATCTTGCCATGCTCTCCGAGAGGGATAGAGACTTTTAGGGCTGCCTCTAATCGCCCTTACAGGAGTTTCCATGCTTCAAACAATATTTCAACACATTCAAATATGGTGCGGTAATCTTGTACTAAGTGTTTTATGATGTGTCGCGCGGTCGTATTGTGGCCGGATGCTCTGGAAAGCATCCTGGAGGGCGTCCGCGGCTGGGTAGTGGAGGTAGTGGAGGTAATGGAGGTCTTCTGGGCTGCTGGGAGCAGGCAGAGGATCTCTGGATTAATACATCTCAGGGCGGAGATGTATTAATATTCAGATTTAACTATTTTTTTTTTTTAAAGAACTCTCAGCTCAAGTTCTAGTAAACTCTTTGTTAAAACAGCATTCTTCTGACTGGCCACATCGGGGCTGAGTACATGCCGGTCCATGTAGAGGAAGAGGCGGCCATTTGCAATATTGTAATCCAGGCGCTTTTGTTTCTTTACTAGATTCAGGCAGTGGATTTCAGTTCAGCAGCCAAAACATTTTGACAAGCTCATATTGACAGCATTGTCCCCCTTGCTTTCTCCAATTCGCAGAGGAGAAAGGGAGCTACTCAGACACCGTTGTTTTCATGGGGGGATCGTTCTCTCCAGATCGTTAATTTAGGAGAGCATAAAGGAAAGCAAAGAAATTTCCCTGGTTTGTTCTGCTTCCGAGTTGCTAAACCTCACAGATGCCTCAGACTGTTATTTGAAGGAAAGTAAATGAATTTCTTGGGAGGCTTTTGCGTATCTGAAGCTCATCCCTAGCTTTCTGGCACAAAGCTGATTTTCTCCATCCTCTTCCTGGGGTCAAATCAGGCCCTGGTGAGGCTCTACCTGATTCCCGCCTTCTGTGCTCAGTAAGTACTAACCCATTTGGATCCAGTCATGGGTTGATGGTTCGAGGGCTTTGGAGCTCCCAAACTTCTTCCTAAAGAGATTGGAGGTTGGAGTCAGCCTGCCATAGTGCTATGGAGGATTTTTTTGGTTGCTTTTTTTGTTCTTCCGATCAGAGCTAGAAAACACAGCCCGTTTGTGAATTAAAAAAAAAAAAATATTCAGGGGCTGGAACAATAGCACAGTGGGTAGGGCATTTGCCTTGCACGCAGCCAACCCGGGTTCGATTCCCAGCATCCCATATGTCCCCTGAGCACCGCCAGGGGTAATTTCTGAGTGCAGATCCAGGAGTGACCCCTGTGCATTGCCGGGTGTGACCCAAAAAGCAAAAAAATATATATATATTCAGCAGCAAAAACTCATGGCAAGTGCCTTAAAGCATGCACAGTGTGTGTGGGAGGTGGGAGGGGAAACATTGGTGGGTCTCTGAACTAGCCTTTAGCCATGTTGCGTGTCTGCAGAGCGATTTTAGACACGGGAGTTGTTGGGAGGCAACTTGTAGCTGGGCTGTGGACATTAGGGAACAGGTGGGGTTGCAGTGGGCGGGAAGGCCCAGTGACAGAACGTGGGGCCGGACTGCGCCACCCCCCTCAGGCTTTGAGGTGCTTGCAGGCTTGGGAGTAGGAACTCTGACCCCGCGGATGCCAGGGTCAGGAGCTTTTTTGGGTTTGCTTTGGTTTGGGGGCTATAAAGGTGGTGCTCAAGGTTTTGTTCTGGCTCTGTGTTCAGGGATCACTTTTTTTCCCTTTTGCTTTTTGGGTCACACCCGGCAATGCTCAGGGGTTACTCCTGGCTCTGCACTCAGGAATTACTCCTGGCTGTGCTCGGGTGACCATATGGAATGCTGGAAATCGAACCCGGGTCTGCCGCATACAAGGCAAACGCCCTACCTGCTGTGCTATCACTCCAGCTCCTCAGGGACCACTTTTTTAAAAAAAATTTTTATTAGTGAAACACCATGGGGTACAGTTGTAGACTTACAAATTTTTGTGCTTGGGTTTCAGTTATACAGTGATCCAGTACCCATCCCTCCACCAGTGCCCATTCTCCACCACCGCTGGGAATCAAACTGTCTCTTTGGACCAAGATGGGTGCTTGGCAAAAGCAGACAAGGGGGTTGGTATGCAGAAGGCCTGAGAGGCGAGCAGGTGTCTGCTAAGGGGAGAGGAAGTACCTGAGGCCAGATCCTCAGAGCGGGCCAGTAGCCACACTTACTGACCATTGGGAGGGCTGCCTTAGGAACCACGTAGGCAGGCCACGGCCATTGGGAGCTGTGGGTTGTATTTGTGGAGATATGGGTTAACTTGCACATAACTGGCCCTCGTGCAGAAATCACTGGACTTGGGTCTGGAGAGACCGTACAGACAGGTAAGGCACTTGCCTTGCTCACGGCTAACCCAGTCTCAACCCCCAGCATCTCATATTTTCCCCTGAGCCTCACCCGGAGTGATTCCTGAGTAACCCCTGAGCATCGCTGGGTATGGCCCCCAAACAAAACAAAACAATTGGATTCACAAAAAGGGGTGACTGGTGAATGATAATAGGAAGATTGAGAGATCAAATTTGGGGGATCAGAGCCTTCTTCAGTTTACATCAGTGTGTGCCCTGCATAACTGGTCCAAGGACCAGCGCTTCTAACCAAGGTGGCTTCACATTCACCTGGTAGCAGGCCACGTTAGTGGTTGCAGACCACCGCTCTAGTGCGGAGAACATCGAGGATGAAGGACAGTTTGGGGCTCAGTTTCCCCGAGGCCCCTGCCTGCTCACTGCGTGGGGCCTGTTGGTCTGCACAGACCTCAAAAGATCGCAGCCACAGCCTGTTGTTGTATATGTGCTCACGGATCCCAAACCACCCCCCTCTGCAGCCCCAAGCTTTTTGTTTACTCCCACCACTGCACGGCCCCGGCACCTTCTTTAAGGTAGAGGCAGGCCCAGAGTGTTTGATTATGTGCAAGCTCGTCTCGTTTCCAATTGCAGCGTCAAGAAATTATGACTGTTGCTTTTGTTCATGCTTGTGCTGAAATGTTTTTTGTTCCTAGGCCTATTTTCCACAATAAGCCTTGTTAATTTTAGTTTGAGCTTGTGAAGCAGTAGTAATCTTGCAGCGTGCGCGTGTGTGTGTGTGTGTCTGTGTGTATGTGTGTAGTTAGAAGAGAAGTATTCCTGATTCCTTTTTACTAAGGTTACACAGTACTGAAAGAGGGATGGGAGGAAAAAGGAACTTCTGTGGAAGATCTGCAGGCCTGACCGTGCGGGGCTACTTGTCTGCATGGTCTTCCCAGTATCAGGTTGTCATATTGTGTTTTATTTTTGTTTGTTTGTTTTTGCTTTTCTTGGGTCACACCCGGTGATGCATAGGGGTTACTCCTGGCTCTGCACTCAGGAATTACTCCTGCCGGTGCTCAGGGGACCATATGGGATGCTGGGAATTGAACCCGGGTCGGCCTTCTGCAAGGCAAATGCCCTACCTGCTGTGCTTTTGCTCCAGCCCCCACGGTGTCATGTTGATGCATTTCTACCTTTCTGTGATCCTTTGCTACAGTCTGAACCAGCCTCCGACGGCGAGGGACCCTCCCAGCAGAGCAGAGCCCCCTCCCAGCCTGCAGAAAGTAGCCCAGCAAAGAAGGTAAGTTGAGCGAGCGGGACTAGACCCTGGCCGTTGGGTGTGGCAGCCCTGAGCTGCGGCCGCTGCTAGCCCCGCCTTGGGGAACCCTCACACTTGGGGTTTCTTCTGAAGACGACGCTCCTGGCTCCTGAGGATCCTTGCACTTGGCCTTGGTGTCGCTCACAGTCTGTGTTTCCCTCTCCCAGCTTCCAGCTCAGGGGGGCGGGCTGACAGCATGAAGAGGATGAAATGGCTGCTGTTACCAGAATCTCACACACCTGCTAAACCTTTTGGAGCATCTCGGGGGCCTTGCTAAGCCCCCCTCCCCCACCTTTAACCCTTGTTTTACGGTCTCTTCTTGCAGCCTGCTTTAGCCATGTCACGTGCCACGGAGCTCTCTGCCCGCCCCGCTTCCCCCTGCAGGCGAGGCAGGGGTTCCAGGAAGCAGGCTGCTTTCATCTTCCAGAAAGCAGCTCTTACATTCAGCTTTGTGTATGAATTGACCAGGTCCCTTGCAAACGCATAGAAATGCCCCGTATGTCACAAGACTGCCAAGTAAGACCAGCACCAGTATTGACCTTCAGTTTAAAAACTCTCTTGGGGGGAGGGGGGGGCTGGAGCATTAGTACAGCGAGTAGGGCATTTGCCTTCCATGCGGCCGACCCGGGTTCAATTCCCAGCATCCTATATGGTCCCCTGAGCACCTCTAGGAGTGATTTCTGAGTGCAAAGTCAGGAGTCAGCACTGAGCATTGCCAACTGTGACCCAAAAAGCCCCCCCCAAAAAAGCTCTGGGGAGCGGGGCATGTGGGAGACCCTGGCTTCATCCTCAGTACCACCAGAAATTAATGTGATAAAACCCCGGCTATTGAGATACAGCATTTTCAGAAATCAGAGGGGCTGGGGTGATAGTACAATGGGTAGGACACTTGCCTTGCATGCAGCAGACCTGAGTTTGACTCGTGATATCTCACATGGTCCCCTGAGCACTTCCGGGAGTAATTCCTGAGTGCAGAGTTCAGGAGTAACTCCTGAACATCATCAACTGTGACCTCCCCCCGCAAAAAAAAAAAAAAAAAAAAAAAACTTAAAATTTTTGTAAATAAAAGAAAGGGAGGGAAGGACAGTGGGTTGCTAGAATGTGGTTTCTTTTTCCTTTCGGATGACAAAAGAAATGGAGAAACTCTAAGCAGAAAGAAAGAAAGGCTGAAAGATTTGAGACACGTGGCCTGGCCCAATGCTGAGCCTTTGCCTCAACTCTAGCTCTGTGACCACAGCAAGCGGATGTGCCCCGTGGGACAGGCCTTGAGGAAAACGGACTGTGGGCCTGGTGACAGGGTGTATTTTGGTTGTGACATTCCTTGTGTGTTGATTTTTTGATCTCCAGGACTCATCCCATTCTCAGCAGCCGCCCTCCAAGCCCATCCGTCGGAAGCTGCGAGCTGAAAACCAAGAGCCCTCTGCTGGGGGTCCGGCTTCGGTAGCGACTGCGAAACCCCACCCGACAGTCCAGAAGTAAGTGGCACAGATAAACAAGGACAGCTTGCAAAGTTCCCTTTCAATCTGCAGGTCCCTGCCATCCAGCATTCATTTATTTTGAAGCCAAGGGGTGGGGCTTTGGAGTGTGGTCTTACCTTACTCACCTCTACCCATCACATGGAGGGGCTTTAAGGTGTTGGACTTAACCTGCCCCAGGAGGACTTTGTTGTGTTTCATAAGATTTGATTCTCTTCCCTTCTCTCTTCTTCAGTATTTTTCCTAGGAAGGAGACAATAATAGTACCAATGTCAGTTTCCCTTATTTTCCACATTTTGTCTCCATGTTCTCCTGGAATAGATGACTTCATGACCAACTTCCAGTCGATGAGGAGTTTCACTTGTCCCTGGGGGAGGTAGGGGCTCCTATAAAGTGCTCAGGAAGCTCCAGGACCACTCCTGATGACCCTCGATCCAACGTGTTCAGCCTGAGAGTTTACTGTTTGGGCCTGCTGGTATAGAACTGCTGAGGCCCAGCAGTGCTAAGAGCCACCCGGAGCACAGTTAACCGTGTTGGGGGGGTCTTGGGCTATGCTCAGTGGTGCTTACAGTGCCAGGGATTGAGTTTAGAGCCTCATGTGTGCAAGGCATTTATTCCAACCCTGTCAGCTATTTCCCCAGTTCCAACATGTCACTTCTTTTTAGTGTTTTCAATGTACAGTATCACGTCATCTGCAAATAGTGATAGTTTGACCTCTTCATTTCCAATATGGAATTTTCAATCCCTTTGATATCTTTTTCTTGTCTGATTGCTATGGCAAGGGCTTCCAAAACTATGTTGAATAAGAGTGGCAATAGTGGACATCCTTGCCTTGTACCTGATCTGGAAAAAAAGGTTTCAGTTTTTTTCCTATTAAGACTATTGCCTTTAGGTTTGTTGTCGATGGGTTTGTTGTAGCTGACCAATATTTGAGGTATGTTCCATTTGTTCCCATTTTTTGAGGTCTTTTTTGAAATCATGAACCCCTTGTCCTGTTTTCAAATGACTTAATTAATACACAGGTCACCTACCATTTTTTTTTTTATAGAATGAGTGATTCAGTGGTTTTAGGATATTGACATGGCTGTGCAATTACTACCACACTCTTAATTCCAGGATATCGTCATTATCCTGAAAGGAGGTTCCATGTACTTAGCCATCAGTCATTGTTCTCCCCTTCCCTTATCAGCCTGAGACAACCTCTAATTTACTTTCTCTCTTTCAAGATTTGCCTATTTTTAACATTTCAACTAAACAGCATCATGCAACATGTGGTCTTTTGTGCATGGCTTCTTTCACTTAGCATAATGTTGTTAAGGTTCATCATTGGTGTGGTATAATTTAGAACTTCATTCTTTTATATAGCACTATCGCCCTATCCTCCCGTTGTTCATCGATTTGCTCAAGCGGGCCCAGTAACGTCTCCATTGTGAGACTTGTTGTTACTGTGTTTGGCATATTGAATGTGTCATGGGTAGCATTCCAGGCTTTGCCGTGCAGGCGAGATACTCTCAGTAGCTTGCCAGGCTCTCCGAGAGGGGCGGAGGAATTGAACCCGGCTCAGCCAGGCAGGCTGCGTGCAAGGCAAGCGCCCTACCACTGTGTTATTGCGTAACACTGTGCCACATTTTAGGTCACCATGTGTCAGTGGGTGGACCTTTGGGTTTCCACTTTCAAGCTAATAACAATAATGCCAGTCACTACTTGTGAACAGGTTTTTGTGTGACTTCTCTTTTCATTTATCTTGAGTATATACTAGGAGTATATACAATAATAAATTGCTGGATCATATGGCAAGTCAATATGTAAAACTTGGAGAAGCTGCCAAACGGTTTTCCACAGTGGAAACAGCATTTTAAAGTCTTCCTAGTAATGAAAGAGTGTTCTTATTTTTATTTTTTCTTTCTCTTTAGGGGAGGGGGTTGGGCGACACCCAGCGGTGCTCAGGGGTTACACCTCACTCCATATGCTGGAATCACTCCTGACAGTGCTAAGGGGGCCATGTGGTATGCCAGGGATTGAACCCAGGGCAGCTTCATGCAAGGCAAATGGGCATTCCTGCTGAACTGTATTGCTCCTGCCCAGGTTCTGACTTGTCTTCTTATTTATCTGTGCTTGTTATTATCCGTATTGTCCGTAGAGTGGGTATGAAATAATGCCTTGTGGTTTTGATTTGTGCTTCTTTTTCTTCTTTTTGGGGTTTTGTTTTTTGGCCAAAGCTGGCAGTATTCAGGGCTTGCTCATGACTCTGTATTGAGGAATCACCTTAGCTCCTGTACTATCTCTCCAGACTCATATTTGTATTTCTTAAAAAACTAATAATATTGACCGTCTTGCCAAGAGTTTATTGGCTATTTGTGTATTTTCTTTGAAGAGATACCTACTTAGATCACTTGCCCAATTTTCCTTGGATTATTTATCTTTTTTAGTTAGATTTAAAAAATATATTTTGGTTACATGTTTCTTGTTAGGTATATAATTTGGCAATTGTTTTCTCCCATTCTGTAAGTTCTCTCTCTCTGTGTCTCTCATTCTCTCTCTGTCTTGGTGTTATTTTGGTCTGCGAAGGATTGAACCCAGGGCTTTATACATGTGAAGTTGGATCTACCACTGAGCCACATTCTGTGCCCTCTTAAATGTTTTTCAGTAGTGGGAATTGAAACCAGCTTCTTGATTTCTTGGTTGCTTGCAGCATGATGTCTTTTTCTTTTGTCACTTGTGCTTTGGTATCTTAGCAAAGAGAGCAGCACCACGTCCAGGTTCAGAAGGGTTTGTTCCTATGTTTGTTTTCATAGTTTCAGGTCTTACACTAAGGCCTGTGGTCTATTTTGACTTTAGTTTTGTGCGTAGTATGAGGGAAGGGTCCAACTTCCTTGTTTTGCATGTAGATAGTCTGTCCAAATGCCATTTTTTGAAAGGAGATATAATCTTTTATTGCCTGTTCAGTGACTGTTCCTCACTGCCATATTCTCTTGCTATTTAGGTGACAGCTAGGTCAGGCTGAGGGAGGCTTACTAGTAACACATATAGTGCTCTCACTGATAGGAACCGAGGCTTATTTGGAGGGGGTGGGGACAGGAACTTACTATAGCTTACTTCTTTGCCCAGGCCAGTTTATTTTGGAGTTATAAGGAATGACTTTGCTTTATTCATTTTTCAAAATCTTTGGGAGAGAGACAATTGGACACATGATGGTTTGTCTCTATCTTTTCTGAGAATCCTTTGTCAACCAGGATTCTGGGAAAGAACTAAAGTCTGACGTTCAGAGACAGCATTATACTTAGCAAGCTAACCAATTTCCATTTATAGTGGTCCTTATTTTGTATCATTTGGGGGGAGGTTGAGAAAAGAGGTACAAGATGTTCTCTAAATTCTGTAAGAGAGCAGTAGTGATAAAGGTTAAAAAATGTACTCATTACCAGCTGGAAATAAACATCAGACTGGCCTGTTATACAAGGAACACATTATCCTTCAGAGAATATCATTGTGTGCCTACTCTTAGGGCAGAGAAACTAATAAAACCTTCTCTCCGGAGAGCTGCTGATTTCAGTTATGAGTAATGTCGAGCTTTCAGATTGCTTCCTCATTAATGAGCTGCCCATTAGGACGGAAGTGGGCTTTTCTCAGAAATAATGTGGGATGCTTAAATTTGCTCCCACATCTCATGAATTTGCTAAGAACGAGCTTTGGGTAAGAAGAGACTTGTTCAAGTCATGTGGCCCAGAAACTTCAGAATCTATGGTCTGAGCCGTTGAGTTGACATGGGAGGTGGCTGCTGGAGCTTCTGGAAGTAAGGGGAGTAGGGGTGGAAGGAGGCTATCTATCCCCTGCCTCAATAAGACCCCAGAGTTCCCAATTTGGACACCGGGTACCTGAAGTTTCTCAAAGTTTGGTGTCTCTGTACAGAGTATTAGTGAAACAATACTCTTAGCAATACTCTTAGCAATAGTTGAACCATTGGTGTGGCTGCAGTGGTAGGGTGTGGGGCTGGGGCTACTGGTAGGGCAGGGAACTTGGTCTACCCCGCTCCTGAGTGTGTTTCTCTCGATGTACCGCTTAGCGCACACTGAAACATGGGCAAGTCAGGGAAATGTAGTTCCCATATTGCTTCCCAGGTGACAGGACAGCCGCCTTGCACCTGTGGAGGGTGAAGTGTCAGTAAGAACAAGGAGGCACGCCCATAAATTTGGTAGGCTGGCTTGCCACAAGCCCTGAGTGGATACTGCCTCCCGCTGCAACAGTTTTAAACAGAGATGACACCATCAGGCACGGCCAAGTCCCCACCCACTTTACTCTTTCCCTCCTCTTTCTCTTTGGGGAACACACCCATTGAGGCTGGCCTGAAACAGCAAATAATAAAGCCGAGCCTGAAGAGACAGACTCGAAGCATTTCTTTGGAAGATGAGGCAGGTTTCAGCATGCTTTGTGGCATGCTTGAGAGGGATTGGGGGCTTGATCCTGTGTGTTCTTTAGGGACCGTTAGGCTGCAAATACTGAAGAGCAAGTCAGGCCAGCAAAACCCATATTATTTTTTTAATTAATTTATTTTTGTTGAATCACCTTGATATATAGTCACAAGCTTTCATGTTTGAATTTCAGTCCAACAATGATAAACATCCATCCCTCCACCAGTGTACATTCTCCACCACCAATGTCCCCAGTATACCCCTGCTTTTTGATCCTCCCCCTGCCTCCATGGCAGACAATTGCCCCCATACTCCCTTTCTACTTTGGGGCATTATGGTTTGCAATACAGATACTGAGAGGCCATCATGTTTAGTCCTTTATCTACTTTCAGCACACATCTCCCATCCTGAACGATTCCTCCAACTATCATTGTCTTAGTGATCCCGTCTCTATTCCAACTGCCTTCTCCTCCAGCTCATGAGACAGGCTTCCAATTATGGGGCAACATTCCTGGTCCTTGTGTCTATTGTCCTTGAAAACCCATATTCTTTATTTTATTTTGTTTTGTTTTTCTTTTTTGGGTCACACCGGCA